ATGATTTGGGAATCACCGAGTCTTTATTCATTTGTGGATATCGTTAGTTTTTCGTCTTTTTTTTTTTTGAAACTTCAGATTTTCAGCTCTATTCGACCACATTGGTATTAAAACCGTCATAAATGCAGATTCAGTTCTATTCATGGTATTATTGAAAAATGCTCTCGGCGAACCATCATTCCCATCATTCTATCCAGGTATTGTTCATTGACTACTTTCGTTTCATCACTTTTTTTTGCAGCACTCATCTCACCAAAGACTGATAAGATGACTATGCTGGAAATAATCGGAAACACTCTTCAAATGATATTGCCCGCCTATTTTTCCAAGATGCGATTTGAAGAAGAATTGAAAATGATTGAACCATATTACAACGGAACAAAAACATGGAGAAAACATTTGGAAGGAGTTGCATTCAATATGGTCAACTCGAATCGATATCTCGATTATGCGAGCCCAACTTTGCCCAAAACAGTGTTCATTGGAGGAATGCAAGTGAATACAAATAAAAATGGAAAGGTTAAATTGTATGAAGATTGGGATGATCTTTTGAATCAAAGAAAACAAAATGTGTTAGTTTCATTTGGATCGAATGCATTCTCTTCGGATATGCCTGATGAGTTCAAAAAAACTTTTTTGGAAGTTTTTGCATCGACGCCAGATGTGACCTTCATTTGGAAATATGAGGAAGCAAATGCGACGTTGGCAAGTCATCTGAAAAATGTTAAACTGACCACTTGGATGCCTCAGAATGATTTATTGGGTGAGAAAATGTATTCTATGAAGACAAACCGTAAAACCTGTAATAGACGGGCCCTAACTTCTACCACTGACAAGGGAACCATGTTTAGCCTTTATCTCAGAATTTTTTTCTAAATTCGCTCATTTATAGTTTCAAATACGGGGCTTTCTTTCGATGTATTTGGTTTTTTGCACAAATTTCTAGAAGTCGAGTTATGGGCTGTTTAAGTGATTTCAATACTAATTTCTCACTTTTGGAGTGAGTTTTTGAAAGGGTTAATGGGAGTTTTTTGGCATTGTTTGAGTGTCAATCGCAATTTTAAAGGTTTCTCTACAATCTGACAGAGTTTCCTCATTTTTCAAAGAAAAAATTTTTTTTTGAAAAAATTTTTGCCATGGTTACCCTTTGCGAAATTTTCAATTTTTCCATACTTGTAAAATTACGGGCCGGCCCGCCAAAGCCCGGGCCCGGGCCCGGGCCTGAGGAAATTTTCAAGGCCCGGTGTCAAAAATTCTGTATTTTTGAGCCAAATTTTGAGCTCTCAATTCAATTTTTTCCATTTTTTTTTGTATTTCGGATTGTTTGTCTGTCTGATCAAAAAAGATCGAAAAACTCGAAAAAAAATTTTTTGAAAAAAAATCACATAAGGGTCCCCCTTATGTGTTTTTTGAAAATTTCGAAACTAGTGAAATGACGGGCCCGCCGGGCCGGGCCGGGCCTCCGAAATTTCGGAAAAAGCTCAGCCCGGCCCGTTACAAGTATGAATTTTTCGAAAATTTTTTAAATGTGCTAAAATGAATTCTAAACGCATAAAAATGATAAAATGAGTCTTTTCACAAGATTCTGTAGCATATATCCGTTTTGAAATCCGAAATAAGTGATTTCTTCCAAAACTCCAATGAATCGTAGTCCTTCGAAAATCACCCAATAGCACTCAAATATTGTGAAAACATAGATTTACATACTTCTTGACTGATTTATAACAGTTCCGCAACCAATATGATCAAATAGGGGGATTTCGACTGACATTTTGAGTAGATAAGGCTTTTCAGCAGTGCTTCAAGAATTTTTCAGAAATTATCTTTTTCGAGCTTTTTTCCTACTGAAATAATAAAGCAAACATAGTTTTGATTTTCGAAAAGTTCAAAGCATTCCTCCAACATCAAAGAGAAAAAGAACAACTAAAATGGACAATGACGGAATCGAACCCGAAACTTATGATTCCTATTCATCCCCAAACAGGTAGAGGGGGACTGCTGAAAAACTGCTAAATGACAGCTGAAGAGGCGCAAACTGGCGAATGACTGCTAGTTGGCAGCCGAAGGAGAACTGACGGGCCGTCGACGGTCCGTCGACGGACAGTCGGAACTCGTTGGAAAACAGACTTGAAGGTTTTGATTGGAAATCATTCAGAAAACAATTTCTCATACCCCCACTAGATTATAGGAAATGATTGAATCTTATTTTCCTAAAATAGGACCACCAATAGGTTGTTGAACGACTGCTGAATGACAGTCGAAGAGGCGCTGACTGGTCAATGACCGGTGGTTGGCGGGCCAAATTTCTGCAGAATGGAAAATTTGGTTGAAAAAGATTTTTCTCTTAAAACATGATAAAAGTCATAGAGGGATCTGGGAATCTATAAAATGTGTTATTAGAAGCACTTCTACGAAAATTAGAATCTGAGGCGCGATTGGTGAAAAACGGCTAAATGACAGTCGAAGAGGCGCTGACTGGTGGATGGCGGCTGGAAAAAAACGCTGTAAAATGAATTTCTGAATGTTCCTGGGTATCCATCTAAAAGCATGTTTTCGCATTTTCTGTTAAAATATGGTAACTGGAGTTGTCATTTCGTGATAATAATCCTCCGTTTAAGGCACGTGTTTCCGGTCATACTTTTCCCATTTTCTGAAGAGTTCCGACGAAATTTTTTTCTGAAAACGTTGTACAATTTTTGTCTGATAATGCTGTTCTCTTTTTGTTTCTTTTTCTTCAAAAATCTCGACAATTCGTTTTTAATTGCCGTTTTAGCTGACGAGTTTCGGAATTTCGGTTCGCAACGACACTCCGAAATTCCGCCTGCGCCTTGTTCAGCGACACAAGACTCAACGAATTTCTCGTCTAATTTTCACAGTTTTTTTCGTTTTTCGAAGTGTTTTCTCATTGAAATTCAGTATTTTTCGCTCAAAATATCTAAATACTGGCATTAGAAAAGCATCAAAAACATTCGCGCACTTTCTTCCTCGCGTTTTAGTTGAAAATGCGAAAAAATCGGTCAAAACTCGTTTCGCCATAAGTTTCTAAGGTTTCGCAAGTTTTTGCTTCGGAAAGTAACAAATTTAACGTTGCGGAGGTTTTTATGTGGTGAGTTGGTGAGTTTTTGTATGCTCCGAAGCAAAAACTATCGAAATCTCTTAACTTTCTCATTCTGTTGCCGAAAATTCGCCTCGCCGACACTACGCAAGTGTGATGTTTTGCAAGTGCTGTGGAAAATAACAGCTTTGCAAGGTTCGTGCATGAAAAATTATACGAAAATCTGTTGTTTTTTCTGCTTCCGATCGGCTTTAAAAATATCACATGCGATATGTCGAACTTTTGAAGTCTCTGCTAAAAATGTCGCTGAGCCTTAAACATGTAAAGGTTTTTTATATGCCAGTTTTTTTGAGTGCTCAATTCATGTTACGAACTCATCAATTTTACTTATTCTGAAAGAAAGTCATATAAAAGCGGAAAATACTGTTCAATGAGAGAAATGCTGAGAACCGAAAGAAATTGGAAACGAGAAACGAAGAAGGAAAAAAGAACGAAAGGAACGAGAAAAAAATCTTCGCATTTTGAAATTTGAATTTTTATAAAGTTGGAATTTTGCGAAAACACATAGAAAATCGAAGTTCTGTTCCCTATAGAATTTGTAATTTCTTATGTGTTTTCTCTCATTCTAATCATAAAAATTCAACTTTGAAAAATTTGGAGTTATTTTTTCAATACAATACACAATCCACAGAAACTATTAGTTTAATAAAGAATTTCTATTGTTTATTACCTGTTTAATGATGAACTGTCAAGAAAGCGCTATCATTTTTGACGGCCCGTCTTCGAGGCGCAAATCGTTGCAGACGGACCGTCGGCGGCGCGCGATTCGACTGCCGACTGTTCGCTTTTCGGCAGTCCGCGCCCGCCAGACGGGCCGTTTTTCGGCGGTCCCCCTCTACCTGTGCGCACTATCCACTCGGCCACTGTTGCTCGTTTCTTCCACAGTGGAGAATGTATAGGAAAGGGGGGAAAGTGGAAGGGAAGGAGGATACCAAAAAACAGCATATTTTCAGATGGACTTTTCTCGGCTTCTAGAAATTTTTGCAGAAAACCGAATACACCACGAGAAAGCCCGTATTTGAAACTATAAATGAGCAAATTAGAAAAAATTCTGAGATGAAGGCTAAACATGGTTCCCTTGTGAGATACTTTTTTTTGCTTCCGGTCAAAGATTTGAAAAAGTTATCAACTGATAAACTGTTCATCATAATATCAAAAGTGTTTCATCTGCTAACACATTTTTTTATATTTCGCAAAAATTGAGACAATTTAGTTCAAACTTGAAAGTGGGGGCCCCTTTAAGTACATGTATTACGGTATTTTTGATTTCATTCAATTTTCAGCTGATCCTCGACTTACCCTTTTCGTCACTCACGGAGGTCTCGGAAGCTCAATAGAACTTGCGCATCAAGGCAAACCGGCAATTGTTGTAAGTGTAGCAGTCCATCTGAAATTCATAAAGTCTCAATTTTCAGATCCCACTAATGGCTGACCAGCCCCGTAACGCCCATATGCTAACCAGACATGGTGGAGCGTTACAACTTGGAAAGAGTGATCTCAATGATCCTGAAATTATTCGAAACGCGATTCGAGACGTTCTGGAAAACAAAGTCTATCAGGAAAATGCAGAAAGATTGGCGAAAATCTTGAAGTATCAACCGTACAGTCCAGCCGATGTTGTTTTGAAGCATTGTGATTTCGCTGTGAAATTTGGACCGTTGGATACTTTGCAATCAGAAGGGAGACATCTAAATTTGTTCCAGTTTTACTCCTATGACATTTTTGTTGTACTATTTCTGATTGTATTATCCATCATAGTTATTATTGTGTTGATTTTTACCGTTTGCTTGAGATTCTTCAGAAAGTTTTCCAGTAACAAGGTCAAAAAGGAGTGAATAAAAACCGTTTGAGTGGGTTAGAAACTCGTGTTTATTGTTAACATTTGTTTCATCAGACTAGAAGCTCATTAGCTCTTTGACTACAAGAAAGAACCACGTTTCTTCATGCACTGAAACCTCTTCCTGGTCTGCCAAAAATTGGTGAGTACATTTCCCACGCCCTTTTGATTGCGTCAACCATCCTACTATTCAAACTAGATAGTCTGAAATATAGCAAACAGGCCAATTACATACACATGTCACCTGCTAAAAATAAATATAACATTTTGGTCGTGCGACCAAAAACTTCTCTTTTTCCTCCTCCCGCTACTGTGTCTATCAGTACCCTCAAGACACGTAATCCTGTTGAAATATGCGAGAAACGCACGATTCAAAATTTCTTCAAATGCTTGCAATAATTTTTCGCTGACAGGTATCTCTTACCGTTTCCCCGTTGATAAGAAGTGATAAATATAAATACCGGGAGGCTAAGCGTATCGTCTAGATGAGGAACATTATGAATCCCTGGATTCTGTTGGCATGTTTGTGTAGTGGAGCACAAGGACTGACAGGTCCGGAGCAAGTACACATCGCCTTTTACACCAGTCCATGGGATATCTCTGTGAGTTGGATCACTTTTGAACAAGGTTAGTCGCACGATTTTTGAAAAACTGGATATCCATTTTTAGCTGAGCCATCCCTATCGTTTGGAACTTCCACTTCAACTATGCAAGATGTATCGGGAACCACAAATACATGGGTATTCGGAGGAATCACAAGACATTCACATTCTGTAATTTTGAAGGATCTGAAACCTTCAACACAATATTGTAAGTGACTAAACTCCTTCAATGGTATGAACCACTTATTCAGATTACCAAATTCAAAACCGATTATTCAATTTCCGATCGTTACCTGCTAATCTTAATTCCTATAAAGTTTGTGTCTTCGGAGATCTTGGAGTCTACAACGGCAGATCTACTCAAAGCATAATAAACAACGGAATCGCTGGAAAGTTTGATTTCATTGTTCACATTGGAGATTTAGCGTATGACCTGCACAGTAATAATGGAAAACTTGGAGATCAGTATATGAATACACTGGAACCGGTTATTTCGAAGGCATGATTTGATATAGAAGCAGATCAGATTACTTTGAACCTATAGATTCCATATATGGTGATCGCTGGGAATCATGAAAATGATAATGCAAACTTCACAAACTTCAAAAATCGTTTCGTAATGCCACCAACTGGATCTGATGATAATCAATTCTATAGGTTGGTTATTGTGGATCATGTCTCAATAATCATACATTTTAGTCTGAACATCGGTCCGGTTCATTGGGTGGGATTGAGCACCGAGTACTATGGATTCGAAGAGCAATACGGTAACGCTTCAATTTTCACTCAATACAACTGGTTGACTAATGACCTGGAAGTAGCTAATAAAAATAGAGAAAATGTTCCATGGATCGCTTTGTATCAGCACCGGCCGTTTTATTGTAGTGTGGAAGAAGGAGCAGATTGCACACTTTATGAAAATGTGGTGGTGAGTGCTAGACAGATTTCAAAGTCCGAAGTGCCGTAAAACCTGTATTAGAAGGGCTCCCTCACCTTGTAATTTTGAGCGGGCCATGTCAAAGATATAATAAAGTTGTTAACTGATAAACTGTTCATGATAAGTGTTTCAGCAGTTGACACATTTATCTTGCTTAGGAATTGAGATAATTGAGATCAAACGTGATAGTTTGGCATCCCCTCTATTACAGGTTTTACCGTTTCTTCATAAATTTGTACAACACTGTTTTCAGCTACGCCACGGCGCACTTGGACTACCTGGATTGGAACCTGAATACATTAAAAATTCAGTTGACATTGGGTTTGCTGGACACATGCATGCTTACGAGAGAATGTGGCCAGTTGCGGATCTGAAATACTACAAAGGAGAGGACGCCTATCATAACCCTGTTGCCCCTGTCTACATTTTAACCGGATCTGCTGGTTGCCATTCATCTGGAATGAAATTCAGTCCGATTCCAATGCCATGGAGTGCTCATCGAAGTGATGATTATGGGTACACAGTGATGACAGTTGCCAACAAAACACATATTCATTTCGAACAAATTTCCATTGACAAGAATGGAGATGTGATTGATTCCGTTTGGGTTAGCAAGGATATTGGGCATCTTCATACGCAGAAAATGAGGGAAGATCTTGGAGGATTCAAATTTTATTAGAAATGAGATTATAACCTATCTGTAGATATTGTTTATAAATAAATGTTTGATGTTACTTATTCGAAAAACACTTCAAAGATTTTCGAAAATACATTGACTTCTCAAAAAACGATCTTTGCTGTGAAACAGACTATAAGATACAGATGCAAAAAAACAAGAGCGTAGAATTTAGATATGATAAGAGAACAAATCAAGTTGACATATTTCCCATCGTCTAATTCTCTTCAACTTTTGTTCAATTATAAATTGACCAACTAATCAGTAGATGGACATTTCTTTTGAATGATGCTTCAGACCAGTACAATTTTACAACTACTACTATTCCTAGTTGGTAGTGTTTCTGCTTATAACATACTCGTATTTTCTCCTGCTACAAGTAAATCTCATTTGATCTCGAATGGAAGAATTGCAGATGAACTAGCAAGAGCCGGACACAATGTGGTAGGTTTAGTTATTTGAAAGTTTCAGGAGAAATATCTAAATTCCAGACCTTACTCGAAATCGACTTTCTTGGAATTGTGGACACTACAAAAAGTGCGAAACTAGTCAAAAAGACCATTGTCCGGACACCAAAAGGAATGCAGGGCTTTCGGAATGTTCTGCAAGGATTTTCTGAAATTGTGATGGAGGATCCTGGACTTTGGGGATTGGTGGAAGGAAATATTATGTACCAAAATGCTTATAATGCACTTTGTGAAGGTAGGTGGAAAACAACAAACTGTGGTAGAGAAAAAAAATTATAGTGTGAACTTCATTGAAAAAAAATGTAGACTTATAATTTGAAAATTTTGTGGCTGCAGACCAAAATTTAGTAAACTCCAGGGTAGTAAAAATAAAACTGCGCTTTCCAAATTTTAACTTGAATATTTTTCCAGAATTTCTCGAGATGGATGACATCTTCCAAGAGCTCAAGGCTCAAAACTTTGATGGCTTTTTCGCCGAACAACTCAATATTTGTGGCTTCGGATACGCAAAAGCTCTCGGAATCGAGAGAAGATTTCTCATCTCTAGTTGCCCGTATTTTTCCCATGTCTACGATTATACCAGTCATCCTGCTCCATATGCAAGTGTTCCGTTTGTTGCTGATATGAGTCCTGAGCCAACGTATTTCGAAAGAGCACAAAATCTATTGAACGGATTTACATGCAATATGCTATTCCGTTATATGCACACCCGATTGTCGTTTATTTTCCGAAACAAATTCGGGTGAGCTTTTTGGTTTTAAATCTGCTTTCTGATCATCTCAGATTATTTTCAGACAAGATTTCCCATCAGTGCCGGAGATCGTGCGAAACGCCGACATCATCTTTTTGGCGACAGATGAAATCATTGACTTCTCAGCACCAACTCTTCCAAATCTTGTGAACATTGGAGGATTAGGTGTGGATGATGATACTACGGAAATGGAGCCAGTTTTCGAGGCTGAAATGAAGAAAGGAGAGAAAGGAGTTATCTTATTTTCCCTGGGAACCATTGCCAACACTTCAACAATTGATAAAAAAGTGATGGAATCGTTTTTGGGAATCGTCAAGAAGTTTCCCGACTATCACTTCCTTATCAGAGCCGACAAGTATGATAAGAACACGAAAGAGAGAGCAAAGGGCATTTCGAATGTGTTTGTCTCTGACTGGCTCCCACAACCAGCCATTTTACGTGAGTTTCTAGGTCTACTGAATTGTAGGAAAGTCTGTATTTCAGATCATCCTCGTCTCCGAACTTTTATCACTCATGCTGGTTACAATGGGCTCGTGGAAGCTGCTCGTGCTGGGGTTCCATTAATAACTATCCCTTTTATGTTCGATCAAAATTTGAACAGCAGAGCTATTGAGAAAAAGGGATGGGGAATCCGATCAGACAAGAAGAAACTTCTGAATGATCCTGATTCTTTTGAAGCGGATCTCAAAGAAATGCTAACCAATCCCAGCTATACAAAAAATGCTCATAGAATTCGCGATTTGATAAAAAGTAAACCATTGGGTGCCAGAGATAGATTCATTAAAACGACAGAATGGGTGATTCAAAACGGAGGAGTCCGTGAATTATTGACTGAAGGAAGAGATTTGAGCATAATTTCTTCGTACAACCTGGATATCATTGTTCCTGTTTTGTTTGTACTTTTGTATTGCCTGATCATTCCATTTTTCAAACTTATTGGTGGATTTTATTATTACAGCTGTTTTGGTCACATTGAATCAAAACACAAGTTGGATTAGAGATTAATAAATGTTTTATCCCGTTCTTCTGGATGCCGCACGAACTGCTGAATACCCGCTTCCTTTTTTTGAATTGATATCATCATCGGATATATTTGAGATACTGAATCGGCATTGACGGACTGCCAGTACATACTTGAAGAACATTCTGGAAAAAATGCAGTTTTAAACAAATCCTAATGTTTAAACTCACCTTCTGAAGGGAATCACAAACACAATTGACAGAATTGGGTCTATCAATGTTGGTAAAATTACCAAAAACGAATTAAGGTACTCTAATAGCAGCACCCCAGTACCTGAAAAATGTATACTCTATGAATAGATTCTTAATCAATCGGTTACCTGAATACTGAGTCAGGAAGAATTGTAGTACCAGTGGAACAAAGCATACACTTGGGATCAAAGTCTGAATTGTGAGTCCCGTGATCATACTTTTCGCGTGCTTGATCCTGGGAGAATTGTACTCTTCGTACTCGTTGAGCAGTCCCCAGATTTTGCTGAAATGTGTATGTAGGTTGATTCCAGTAGGTATGATTCACTCACCTTCGATAGATAAGAGCAGCCAGTGGATTCAGGAAGAGTACAATTGTGAAAATGATAGTTGATGATTTCACATATGGAGATTTAAGAGCAGAAAAACCGAAAATTGAATGTGGTTCGAAGATATATGAAGGATGAAGAGCTCTAGTCTCCAGAACAATTGCACCGTGATGAGAAGGGTTTACGAATTGGCAGATGGCACAGAATACAGCAGGAAGATGGACGATAATAAAGTTTCGCAAGATTTGAGAAGACGTTAATTTCTGATGAGAGAGAATTTTGTAGCGGTAGTAGAAGACGTGAACGATGGCAAAAAGGGCGACCATGGAAGATGCCTGAAGACATGAAATATAATGCTATGAGGAAATTTGAAGACGTTCTGAGACATAAGTGAAACAGGAGAGATTTCTAATTATAACTTTTCAAAGGTCATAGAGTTTATTATGCATTTTCGCTTCAGTTGCTTTTGAATTGTATTTTTCATTTGAGTTTCAAGGTCTCATCGAACTTTTGTAACGTTTATCCGGATTTTTTTTTTCAACTCACATCTCTCAACAAATGAATCAAAAAGCAAGTCTTTCTTCCCAATCTGGTACAAATTCCAGTACATATGAAAGCGACAGTAGTATTATTCGGAACCATTCGACACTGTGTCAGGAATCCAGCCATTATTGTGAGTATTTGAGCGGCACAGATATTCAGAAGATATATTCTCATAGTTCGAAGAAGTTTCGTTTGATTCTTGAAAATCAGTAATAGCAGCAAAGCTTGTGAAAATAAAACTGTGATTGCGAAAATTGGGTAGGAGACATAGACGAATGCAAGGATATCCACCTCCTTCATTTTTTTGAATTATTCTGAAAATTTGAAAATTAAATATCTGAATAAAATATAAATAAATAGACAACAAGGAATTGAATGTAAGTAATGACGAATATCTCGGATTACTGATGCTAAATAGGTGGGAAACGGGCGATGGTGAAGGGCATGTGAGTGTGAGAAAATGAAGGAAAAAAATAGACGAAATGGTGGGAGGAAGGACAAGATATTGAGTATATAGTTTTGGAGAATGTTAGTTCTGCTATGAGGGACGGGAATATTCCCATAATGTCAAAATGCTCAAAGCCCGCCCTCGTAGAAGAGGAAAAAAGCATGATTTGAAACGAGCGAAGCAAGTTGTGCGGAAGAAAAGAAAGCCCGGAAGTGCATAGGGATCGAAATTATGAAAAGGATTATGCAGCATTTTCAGCGTGTGTGTGTGTAGTCTTTGGACGAATTTCAGGTTGGAAAAGAAGCGGAACTGGGATGGAAGATAAATTTAGAGAAAGAGAATGAAACCTTGTAATGAAAGCTTATAGGAGGTTTCAAAAAATTGTGTCATAAGTTGAAACTAGGGCTCCAGATCTGGATCATGGGTTTAAAACTTAGAAAATGGGAAGTAACAGAAAGTCGTCCACCACATTCCGTAAGCACTCTAATATAACGCCAGCCTGACCGTAAAATTTGAGCTCACATATCTCGGCTTTTGTAAAAGATATAAAAAGTGGTGAACTGACAATATGTTTATCATGTTATTAGCAAAATTTCACCAATTAACCACTTTTTGATATCTTTCGCAGAAAATGAGATTCACGGGCTCAAAATTGAAGGTTTGGGTGGCCATCTATTAGTGTTTACGTAAGTGCTGTTCCAGTTTTTGTATGGTACGAATCGGGAAAAACCATTAAAAGCATACCTGCAACGGGTCGAGCAAGGTTTAGAAAAAATCAGCTTCTTGACAGACAGAGGGCCGCCGGACCGGCTAGACCGACTGGACCGGATAGAGTAATTTTGCAAGTATAAAAAGAATTTTTTGGAACATTTTAGTTTTCGCTCTTTCTAGGCGAGACTGATGTTCTTTCATCACAGGAAACGCCTTCTTTTTCTCTCTATTGTTGACACTTTTTGTGCTCTTTACGACCCCCACTCGACGGATATCCACCTATTCATGTTTTAAATCCAAAAAAAAGCGTTAATGTCAAGAGATTTTCCGTTTCTCACAATTCCGATTATCCGATGAAACTACAAAGTTCTTTATACAAGTATTGGTTTTTTGAGGATTATCCTCAAAACATATGGTTCAGTTGATTGAAAGGGGAACTTGTTCTTATAACTAAACTTAAAGAGATCCAAATAGAAATACATAAATGAATAGCTTTTTAAATGCGGTGTGACATTTAAAAAATAGGAGGAAGTGAGTTTGGATTGGTCAGAGAGGTTCCAAGCGAACTTCCGGATTTTTTGAAAAAAAAAGCGCCGAAAAAGGGTTTAAAACTTTTAATGTCAAAGAACCAAAGCTGTGCAAATGACGGCAGTGACTTAGGCCATGGATAGGTATCAGGCCATGGATAGGTATCACAGTCTTGCAAAGAACACCTAGCATTTTTACAAGAACATCTCGGACATGTATAAATGAAATAAAGGATATGAAAAGAAAAAAAGCAAAAAGGACAAAAGTCTTCTGAATAGAAAATACTGACGTTATTCGTCTACAAATTTTCCATGACGAGGACGGAATCCCCGGAGTAATTTGATATCTTTCCAAAAGAGCACACTGGTTCACTTTCCAAACTGCACAGAATCCAACCACGTGGCTCACACATTTTCGGTCACAACTCGGTCTACTTTGCTGCTTGATCAAACAGAGGGAATCTCATTTGCATTTCGGCTCCTCCTCCTTTTTCTCTAACCTTTAATCCAAAACTACTACTTCTGTTTTTCATTTTCGTCATTCCCCCATTTTCGTGCTCATCATCACACAACGAGACACATTTTTTGTCCAAGTATTTTGTTTCGTGTGGGAGACAGAAAAAGGAGAAGTTGTCCCTCTGATTCATTGGGCTATTCAGTCTCGTATTTTTTGTTTTGTATCTAGTTGACTCCTGAAGCGGCAAGAACAAAGATGTCCAAAGAGAAGCGAATGTTTTGATTTGGGGGGAGGTCCAGAAGGTGACCAGGTGTTTGGAAAGGCATATCAAGAAGACGGCGTTCTTTGAAAATTTCAAGTGGCGATCGGGATACTGTAGTCTTTTAAAAAGAGTTACTGTAGTCGATTTTTCATTTTACAAGGAATGGGTCATTTTTTCAATAATTTAGAAACTTTTTTCATGAGTTATGAGATAGGAATCACTGACATAGAAAGTGGGAAAAGGGATCAAAGAAATAGAAAATAAAACAAAAAATATTTTAAACTTTTGTTGAAGGGTAATTTTGGTTTCCTGTTTGACTAGCCTTGGGAATTATTAGTCGTACTGTTTGGCTCACTGTTCAAGGAATTTTAGCTTACTGTTCCAGGAGAAAGATATAGGTTAACAGGCGTCCTAGTTTGTCATGGTCAGAAGAAAATCGAAATTTCGAAATACCGCATACACTAAAATATGACGCCCTCTCCAAACCGTCCACTTTGGACTGATATATCTCATTTTGTGTATGAGTTATTAAACAGTTATCAACTGGCAAAAGGTTAATTATGATATTAAAAATTTTTTGTCAGTTGACCACTTTTTGATATCTTGTACACGAATCGAGATAAATTGGCTCAAAGTTAAAAGCTAGGGGTGTCGTTTTATTAGAGTATTTACGGTATATGAAGTTCTAGAAACTTCTCACCAATCAAGGCATTGAACGAAAGTCACAAAAATCTAACACAATGATGTCAGATGTACACTAATCAGAATACTCTTCTTTTAATAATCAGTCACTGAGAGCGCTAGAGCATAATGGAAAAAGATGAAACGTCTTCAGTTTCCTTTTAGAAGCATTATTTTTGCAGTTGTTGAAATCTGAACGAAAAATAGAGGAACTCAAAGATCAGGGAACATAATATGAAATAAAAACAAATTCTTAAGTTTCTGTTGATAGAAAAAGAAGCAGAAGAGAATATGGAAGTGGAATCGGACATGAGCAATTTGGAAGGCGTGAGAGTTTGATCTTTTGGGTTTTCAATCGTCTGGAAGCCGTGGGAGAGATGGGTTTCACAAATCGCACTATATTTGAAACTAGGTCAAACTGTGGCACTTTTTGGTGTCTTCGTGAACGTGACGTCCTGTATAGTATCTTATGACGTGTGAGGTTCTCCACAAAGGCTGAAAACAAAAAAAAGACCGAGATATTGTGCTCTCCCGTTGCCAGGAGAAACGGTGGTGTTTTAATGGTGTTATCGTCTTTTTCTACTCATCCTCCCCATCTTCAAAAGCATTTTTCTGCACAAGAGAAGAAAATTGAAAAGGATAAGAAAAAAGAAGAAGCTCGAAAATTGAAAAAGAAAAATGAGGTGAGCATATTTTGGTTGCATGAGGGTGGAAAATTGGCTTGATTGTCATTTATGAAAGTGCCAGACTCTGGAAAAATATAGAAATCAAGCTAATTGTGTTTTGAAATCGCTCGGAAATTGCAGGCACTCATTCTGAAGAACTTTGCAATCTCGGAAAAGAAGAAGAAGAAGAAGATTCAGAAGGCGCCAACCCCACCAACCAGAATACCTGAACCAATCTTCAATTTGCCATATCTAACCGATGCCATAATTATGGATCTACTCGCTCAGCCATCACCTGGATCTCCATTGTATCCAGTCACCGAAACACAACTCGTCCCACTAACTATTCTGAAATTGGCTCCTCATTTGAGTATTCCTGTCTTGGATGCATACCGTACTATTCGTCCTTCATAATTTTGGATATCTTTTTTTCATCCATGTTTTCTCACCAACTCGTTCATTTTTTTCTTCTTTGAATAAACGATTTCTTATTCGAATTCCATTTCTATTTTGCAAGAGGTACCATAAGAACACAATCTGGTACACCTTCCACGTGGTTGGAGAAAGTGGGCGGGGCTTGTGTAGGAAACATCTGTGGGCGCTGGTCTCGAGCGAGCCGTCATTCGTTAGCCTATACTTTCGGAAGAATGCCGAGAGCTCATGCCTCTGATGGGGTCGATGAGAAACGTTTGGAACGTCGCAAGTGAGTTTTCAAAAATGTGGTCCCTCCTAAATTGTCTTTTTTCAGATATCAAACATTTTTGCATCATGAGAAAAAATCGTATATTCAACAGATGGCGGAACTTCTTCTTCCTCCCGACATGATCAACCAAGATACTAGAATCGTTTTGAGGTAATTATAGCTTGTACAAACCAATTAGGCATTTATTTTTCCAGAGCGATCCGAGAGATATTAGAGAAGAAATTTCCCGAAAAAATCGGCAAAGAGAATGGATGCTTGTTCCGTAGAACGGTAGAATTTGATGGTGTCAGAAAATCAATCTGGGCTCCGTGTGATCCGTCGAAGAATGCACAACTATTTGAAGCCAAAAATGGAGGAGTCAAAAATTATAGAGTAAAAGTGGAAGTGAAAGAAGAACCAGATTCGGGCGATAACATATCACTGCAAAAAGTCAATCCAATGATCAAGACCGAGTTGAATCCAGAAGAACCTAACGTAGACCACATAAACCCACTAATGCAAGTTGCTCCACCGCCAGTTCAACAAGTGTATCATTTCCCCTTCCACTACGTAAGTTTCATATCATCCAAAACGTTAAAGGACATTAAATGAATTTACAGAACCCAGGAGTTCTTCACTTTTTCAATTCCATGCTACACCCTCCTCCTAACCCCACACTGATGTTTGACGCCGTCTATCCAGAGCAAAGAGACGTTTTCGGAAATATTTCTTTTCATCAAAAATTGGAATACGATCGTGTCAACGCTGAATTGGCAGCTTTGATGCCCCAACCAAGCAGGAATATGGGTAATATGTTCCATCCGCAGTTCGGCACAGTCTCGCCAAATCGATTCATGCATTGGCAACCCGTTCCTTATTATCCACCACCCAGCAATCTGAATGGCATCAATCTCTTGGTCCAACCAAATTTCCATTTCGAAGAAGAACATAACTGGACATTGATGGCAAGCCCACCGGGACCCCCACTTACAGAAGATGAAGCAGCTGGTTTCGAATTTCCGGATTTAAAACTTTAAGTCCTACGCGTGAAACCGATGCTACTTTCTAATAAGTCTACAAGTATTGAATCCGTCCCAACTTTGTATATCTTATCAAAACTTCATTTAAATACTGAACCAGTTATTCAATTAGTAGGCCAATTAAGGTTTCCGTGTAAATTTCTGCATGCTTAACATTGAATAAAGACTTTGATAACATCAGCTTTTTGAGTTCTCTTAAAGGCTTCCAAGGTCTCTTCAAGTTTGTAATGGGCACGACTCAGTCCCGAGAGATCCAGTTTTCCAGAGCTAAGAAGTTCAATGGCAGTTGGGTAACTGGAATTTTCAGAAAATATTAAATAAAGAAAGTGATCAACCTACCAATTAACATATCTGAAGATTCCTCGTATATCAACCTCTCTTGTGGCCGATTCGATAATTGGAATTTCAACTCTATCGGCTCCCAGACCAACAAGAACTATGACTCCACCTGATTTGGTAGTCTGAAAAAAGTGAGAATGTACCTTCCCTCTTTTTTTCCGTTCTACTTACAGTTATCGCCGTCTCAATACTCGGCTGCGCACCGGTACACTCGACACAGACATGTGGCTGCTGTCCACCCAACGCGCTGAT